TAAAGGTGGCCGGCTTCAAACCCACCTACTTCTTATAGACCAATTAGGTCCACTTAGGCCTTTCATATTTTGGTTGGATATCCTGTTTTGCCTAAATGTTTGCTTAAAAGTTAAGTGGCGTGAAACAGGTGCAGTTGTGACCGAATAGCTGCATCCTAACCCAAAACAATTGTCTTTAGTCTTGCAATGTTACCGCATGCAATTGCGCTCCGTTGCACGCGTGTTGTGTGAATGTGTATCTCTTCAAATGAGTGTGATGTGAGACTCGAAACTAGATTCGGGCCTAATCAAGCCTCCTCTTGCTCGGCCGTACTTCTCGCTCCCCACTCTCTATCTATCTAATCCTATATAATAGCCACTTAACTTGCTACACTCATTCCTTCTATTAAGTGTTCGCTCTTTTGTTGATTTCTACCGCCTTCCTAATCTTTCGCTTATTGGTATAGTCCCCATATCCAGCTAAGCGCGTGACATTACACCAATCTATCTAGTGTCCTGTGCAAGCCATATGTTCGAGTCGGGCCAATTCCGAGTTTTTGGCCCACAAATCTTTGCAAGCTATTTTGTGTTCAGATAACCCCTTGTGTATGGTCCGAGAGGTCCCTCCCACATAGGTCCTACTAAATGAACACAAAATCTGGTAACAGCTCGATCTAAAGAGAGGGCCAGAATATTCTCGACAAGAAGGCGATGCCGAGGAAAGTGTCATTTTCTCTTTATAAATGGTCCCGATGTCCCATCCAAATAATTCGCCTAAGTTCTATGACAGATTACACGATGACAACGTAGGGATTCTGGAAGAATGGTCTAACTTTTTATCTAGCCCCAAATATGTATTTCCCTCCATCCAATTTGATAATATTCTAAAATAATTGTCAACCAGTACTCGTGGAAAATTATACTCAATCGGAATTCTCCTTAGTCTCTTCAATTCCTGGTTCCGAAGCTTAACATCTACCCGACGCAGGCTCCTTATTATCATAGACCTCATAACTCCTACTTTAACCCCATAAGTGTGGTCGTTAAAGAAAGAATACAGTGGTTCGATCACAATTGCACCAGATTCACGCTTCATATTCAGTCAGTTAACTCAACTTTTGAGCAAAAATGTTAGCAAAACATAGGATATCCAACTAAAATATGATATACCTAAGTGGACCCAATTGATCTATAAGAAGTTTGAAGCCTGTCACCTTTCTTGCCTTCGTGTTTTTGATGAATTATCGTTAACCATGGTTTCTTGCTCTGATGATGTCAGTCACATGACGGATGGACGCTTAGCAAGGATCCATCGGGGTCGCAGTCTGTTGAGCCGAGGACTTATTCGCACAAATCTACAATCACAGATCCAAGGCAGTACCCCCACAGTCTCCGGTGGAAGCAACTTACGAATCCCTTCCACTCGCCTCTTCAAACGAAATGAAAGGTAATCTAACAGCAATCTAATAAGGGATTCTTGAAACCCTATTTTTCTACATAATAAACATGGACATTTAAATAAGATTATACACGAGTAAGCATGATGTTCTGTTCTGATGATGTCCATCACACGACGGGCGAAAGCTCGGTAAAGATTCCTCGGGGTTGCACAACGGTCTGCTGAGGACATATTACACAAATCTACTGTCACAGCTAAAAGCGAACCCACCTACAGCTTCCGGTGAGGCCAACCTACGAGTCCCTTACACTCGCCTCTTCAAACGAAATGAAGGGTACTTCAAAGTCAATGGTAAAAACAAACTTTCTTTAAAATTAACTGAGCAGATAAACGAACTAAAAGAGGGTTTATAAACATGTAAGTTAGATGAGTTATTTAAACTTCGAATTGCAATTATTACACTTAAAGTAAACTAATACTATTATTTAAAATTACATTTCCGCATACTTTTTGGTACACTTAAAGTATTTGATACTCTATTAGTCGTTATATAAGGAATCATATTACTGAAGATGTAGAAAATTTAGCGCATGCCGTTGCAGGAAATGATGATAAATATACTCAGGATAAAGTTAGGGGGTTATTTTGACTAAACCTCAACGTGTCAGACATTTTTAGAAGCATACCAAATGAACCAATCACTATAATTAAATCATTTTACATCTATCCTGCATATTTTCGTCTTAAGCCAATAAAATGGGTTTTTGATGAAGATGCTACAAGTCTAATCCTCTCGAGATCAATAATTGAGCAAGCTTACCTTTCACAAAGTCTTCTGTTATCATCAGGATAATGAGCCTCTGGACAAGTGTCCGTACAAATGCCTATCCTCTTCGGCGTGGCCTCCAAAATGTCTTTCTGGCCTTTGACATCAGACATTGGCGGGGAGATAAGACGGACCAGATAATGCCCTTTGGGACAGGAAGTACATTCGTGCTCAAAGTATGGACGGAAACATTCCTCACAGAGCGACCAACAGGGTTCACATATAGCAATGCCGCTTCCACGAACGGTAGAATCTGTGGGTACAACTGGCGTATCGAGTCCTGGTGGATCATTTGACACCATCTTGGTAGAAAGGATGCTTTGTGAGTGTGGAAGCCGATGAGGCCAGACGGTGGTCTGGCGAGGGCATGACTTAACACACTTACTGAACAGAAGACAGTAAATAATCTTAGAGCCAATATGGTCATAAACGATTGAAATATTTATCAAAAGGACATCAGAGCTAAGAATAACTGCGACCGAACCTAAGGCCAAACCATCTTTATCTTCAGATTTACGAAAATATGCATATTTCCTGCAAAATTCTCAAGGAAAAATTATTGGTTTAAAATGAATGTGAGTACAATAAACAGTTAAAAATAGAAAATAGAGAGATAAATGAATCCCTATTCGGAGCTTTAGGTTAGTTAAATACTCAAAATAATTTTAGGCAGAAAAATAATAGAAGAATGATGTAAGAGTGTATTTTATATTTAGGAATTTTGCATCTGGCTAATACAGCATTCATACTACCCAATATATTCGCCACCTTAAAACTGAGGTTAATCCTTAAAAGCATAGATTATGGTAAAGCAATCGAATTATACGGTAAAATAGCATCACGTAGCCAAGGGATCAAGGGGCAAATTCGACGCTCAAGGCAAGCCAGGCCTATCCCATACCACATTTATGGTAGGCCTGCATATGATGCAGACATGCGTGCTTCATCAAAATTTGCGAGGCTACCTAGTCTCAGAACGAGCGTTTTGCAACAAGCAGTAATTAATGAAAAATTTCTTTGATTAGCCTTGGTCGCTCGAGATGATCTTATTCGGGCAAAAAGGAATATAATAAGGGTTCAGGTTTTATTACTTATGAAATCGGAAAAAATAAGATCTTTAGAGACATGCTTAGGGACGATATAAGGGTTTGGGATTTTTTAATGTGTAATTTATGGCCAGATGGAAACAGTTTATCAAATAATATGTAGGTCAATATTCAGAGTAAGCAGGTCTCGATAATATCCGTTCTTTTCATATATATATATTTATAGCTCAAATTTAAGTAGTAGAAAATTCTTATATTTTATTTAATAAGGAGAGTGAAAACAGAATCAAATTTCCCTGATAAGTGAAAATTCTCGTAACTGAAAAACAACATAAAGGGAAAAGATACAAACAAATATCTACTATGAAAAGCTGTAAGATCTCGGCTTTTCGGATAGAAGTGTGACTAAAATGGAGGAAGGAAGGTAAACAAGCAAATCTGATGATGAATGATGTAGGATTTTAGAAATAGTATAACAT